CTGCAGGGCTCAGAAAACACACACACACACACTGCACAGAGTGGGAACATGCAGACCTCTCCTCCCATCTAGTCTCTTCCTCTCCCGCCTGTCATGCCTGAAGACTGACAGGCTGTGTTTTCAGCCGATGTTTGAACACGGACCGATCAATGCCGGACAAAGAGAAAAGGAGCGAGGGTGAGGGGCGTGGGGGGGTTCAGTGGGGGGACAACACAATTGGTTATTGACAAAGATTTCAGAGTCTGAAAGAGTGGAGGCGACGGCTTAGTGAAGGGAGAGAGGAGGGGAGGATCACGAGAGCCACTGATTGCAGTTCACGTGCATTGTTAAGCATCGGGTTGAGATGTGTTAACTGCCCAAGTTGTTTGTGCTCACTTGCATTTACACCTACTTGCAGCTCTGATTGTGTTTAATTCAGCAGGTCGGACTCTGCCCAGATTAGGAACAGAAAACTGCTACTTTTTGACTGATGCGTGCATAGGTGGAAACCCCCGGGGGGGGGCACGGGGGACAGGGCTCCCCGTTCATAATGGTGTCCCACCCCCCCAAAAAAATCAATGTAAACACAAATAAAGTTTTGACCAATTTGCAACTATGCCAAGATCCCTTAACGGACGTCGAATGTGAGGGACAAGAGTATTGAACAGAGCAACTGCGATTGTTTTCCCAAGTGTTTCTTTGTTAGTATTGCCAAGATTTCTACTTGTTCAAGTGAAGCTAATTTATCTGTGTAAGTATTTACCCATAGTAGGTGGTTCATAGGCAGCAGAATTTACAAAAGTTGGAAATAGCTAGCTCAAAAATGTCACTTGTCACTCCTGACTTGTCTGTTGATTTGATCAAATCACCAATCACTATAAATCTAAAGAGTTTTTGCTTTAGACTTCTGACTTTGATGGACTGGAGTAGAAATTAAAGCAGGGTGCAAATATATTCTGTTAGATGTAATCATAAAGGTGTAGCTTTGTCATATTTCCCTCTGATACCATTGTTGAAATTGCTGAGTGAACATTGAAAATCATGCATATACGTAGAATATGAGCCTATACAGAACAAGACTACCACTATTACATTAAATAACATTATTTAATATGCTGAAGAATCTCTCTTACAAGGCAAGTCACAAAGGAGCAGCTCTAACATGAAGATTAGACAAAACCTTTCAGTTTGTAGATGTGAAAAACAGGTAGAAATGTATTATTAATTTTGCAAATCACTACACGTTAATGTGTTTTGATTTTCTTCTGGAGCCCTGCATTGCACAACCCTCAGTGATAAGAATGCACAGTATTTGTATTCTCCTGCCATATGTTGTGGGACTGTGTACAAATCAATCAGGAATGGGGTGGGAGATGTTATTTGCACAGCCTGTCCTGAAATCATCAAAATTCTTGAAATGTAATTGCCTGGGTACTCTCTTTGAGTGAAAATCATTCACTTTTCAGCTTTAAAGCTTTCCGATTATTTTCAGAGAACCCGAAGTGAAAACAGTTGAGTGCTCTGACTCATTCTGACATGCAGTTATTTTCACATACAGTCGTGCCTTTCTGTCAGTCTAGACCATAATCACTGATCTAACGTCTAACATTGTTATGTTTTTTTTATTCTTCTTGTGTTGTGCAGATGTAAAACTTTGTTGTGTTTCTTATAATACCTTGCAAGGTGCATATGAGTAGCAACTGCACTACCTAAAGTAGGAAGTGGAAAACACATTTTCAGCTTTAGAAATCAGATAACTTTTATTTACTTTATCAAAATATCTGCCAAAAAGAATAGTGTAGTACCTGAGCCTGGGAACCAGCAGGAAGAGAGTTCACTTCAAGTACATGGGCTTTGTTTTCCTTTTTTGGTTTGTACTGTAATTTGTCAATAATAGGCTATACAGGTATATGTGTATGTGTGTGCCTGGGTCACAATGTGTGTATTTGTCCTTGTGAGGGTCAGATTCAATGTTTCTGTGTGGCGTACATGTGGCCTGTATTTGTGTGGGTCAGGTGGTGGTGGTGGTTTTGTGCGCCACACACACGATGCACGTTGAGGATGTGGTTGTGTTCATGTGGGTCAGGTGCAGTGACGGTTTTTGTATGTGCCTCCAATAATATCTGGCAGTGACACACACTCTCTCAGCCTCTCTTTTGTCGTCTCTCTCAGTGTCACTTCTGTCTTGCTCTTAATCCTGTGCACTCCTCTTCATCACGCAGCAGTCCAGCCTTTCGTAAAAACTTATACTAGCTGCATAGTGTGACAAAAGTAGCGATTTATGGCTTAAAATTACAGTAGAATTTCTGATTCCAGTCAGTTGCAGATTTCATAGTTTCTGGTAATTCTTCTGTAATGAGGCAGCTTTAGACTCCAGAAGCGATTTCCAGACCCATTTTTATCTCCATCCATTTTCAGTGGTGCTGCCAGGGTGAAAACAAATTAGCTGTGAGCAGAAATTTACCAAACGAAACGATCATGGATGACAAGCAGCGCTTTTGAAGAGACTTTGAAGCTTCAGGGTGAAGCTTTGTGGAGCTAAGCGTTTTTAATTTGAAGAATATCCACAATATGGAATTTAATATGTTCTCCTTGTGCATGCGTGGTTTCTGTCTGGGTACTCCACCTTCCTACCATTGGTCAATTGGTGTCTCTACATTGCTATTTGGTGTGAGTGTGTATGCAATGACTGCCGGAGTCTATTGGTTTATATGGTGTGTATATATATATATATATATATATATATATATATATATATATATATATATATATATATATATATATATATATATATGTGTGTGTGTGTCAGTCGTAAAATCTTCACTGATTGTCAAATCTAATTGGTAGTTCGGGCACAAAATCAACCTGTCAATTTCTGAGTCAATTTCTCTTGTAATAATCCACAATTTTACAATCACTTACTGACAGAAAGCGTGAACATTTTTGTGTTTTTGATGGAGATAATCTGTCCTGCTGCTGAGGCTTTCTCCGAGCACCCTTGTACTTTCTGACAGAAAGTGACTGTTAGCTGACTGCAGATGAAAGACATCTTTTTTCACAGGTAAGAAGTGAACTGTAAGTTCAGGAATTGGCTGAGGAAGAAGTACATGTGAGCCAGAGTTTTCAAAGACAGAGATGGAAACAGGATGATGGGTTCATCCTGGTTTAAGCCTGGAGAAGCCGTTGACCTTCCTTGTATCCTGCAGTGGAGCTCCAAGCTTTGTGGAGCTCCTCCTTCAGCCTTTCAGAGCACAGCCAGACTGAATCTATTCATGGGAATAGTGGCACACAATAGCTGAAGATGGCATCTTACTTTCTGGGTAGTTTCTCTTGTACTCTGTTAGTAAAGTGACCAGGTGGGGCTTGATGCTTTCAGAAAACTGAGCTCTGCAAATTTGCCTGGTTTTAAATCGGCTGTTTGCTCACACACCTCTTTATCCACAGAGTGTAGCAAATGAGATTTAGGAACTGTGAGACTGCTGTGCAAGAGAGGCAGAGCTATTATTTGTGTTCATTTTCTTCCGTGTGTATGCGTGTGTGTGTGTGCGTGTGTGTGTGTGTGTGTGTGTTTACGATAGAGGAGGAAAATGGGCTGAGTGGAATGAATATGCCCGTAGGTTTTTGGAAACCTCCTGTCTGGGGCTGATGCTGTCAGTCTGCGCCAGTCTTCCACTTAATGCTTATTGAATTCAGATCATTTTCATGTGCTGAAGCAAGTTTTCTGCTGGAAGGTCAGCGCTATTTAAAATTTATATCCTAGATTAGGCTAAAGGGAAAGTGATGATAATAGCTCAAAGAAAGACAACATTAAACTATTCAATAAATGTAAAAAAAAAAAAAAGAAAAAAAAAAGAGCCACTAGATAAACTGAACTTTTGAGACACGCATAAAAAGTGCATTAGTTTGCGGCGCGGGTCAGAAGTTACCATACACCCATCTTGAATCTGTCATATTGATTTTGTTCTTTTCTACTTAAAATGCAGCTTTTTCAGGGTGAAATTATTTTTAATAAAAGTCAAGTTTGTAGTCTTGTGGATTTTCACTCATCCATACTAACACACACCGACTTGTATATGTCTTACAGCTGAAGCAATTATTCAGATGAATCGTGATTAATCAGTTATTGAAATAATCGCCAACTAATTAAGTAATTGAATAATTATTAACTGGAGTATAAAAGGCCGTAGACTCTAAAACATACCATATGCTGAGAGAACAACAAACTAAGAACAGTAAGGACAAAACTGTTAAAAAAAATTAATAAATAAAACACATTTACACTTTTCATGTAAGATGAAAAACCGTATTTGTAAATATGTTCCACCCAAAACTCAAGTTTCAGCTTCATCTGGTCTAATATTGCATAAAATGAAAAATCTGCAAATGCACCAATAATTGTTAGCTGCAGCCCTAATTTGTCTAAATGTCCCTTAGAAACTCACCTTGCAGAGACGGGTGTATTTAAACTTGTGAGCAGAACTGTGCGTTAACCTCTCCTATGATGAACCCCAGCAGACATCAATAAGTGGGATCTACCCATCTTTATTAGGATGAAAAAGTCTGGCTGAAGAGGTCAGAAAATCTCTGTCCTTGCCGCCAGAAGAGTCTTGGCAGCGCTGCCTGGAGTGATGTGTCACCTCGGAAATGTCAGGGGATAATGTGAGATCAACGGGACCTATATGTGAAAGGTCAGCGGCTCTGCTCTTCAGCCGAGAAGTGCGGACTCTTCCAGGGAGACCAAAGCAGGAGGCCTCCCTTGAACAGATTGGTGTCGATACGTGGAAGCAAAAATGTCACCACTTATGGTGCACACTGTCAACACCTTAAATGGCTTCCCAAAATACACCTAACACCCTGTAGTTGGATTGAGATTCACCAGATAAGCTGCTGCACATTTACTGCCTCCGGATTTGCTGAGTTTTTTAAAAAATGTCCTGTATTTCTTATAACCCAGGAGCAGGATGTTGACACTGAATGACATCTGGCATGTGTTTTTTGTTTTTGTTTGTTTGTTTTCTCAGAGAGCAGCGACTACAGCGAAGCCGAGGTTCTGCCCGACTCCTTCCCGTCAGCTCCAGCGGAGCCCCTCCCGGAGTTCCTGCTGGAACCCGAAGACGCCTTCATCGTGAAGAACCGTCCGGTCCAGCTGCGCTGCCGGGCGTCGCCGGCCACCCAGATCTACTTCAAATGTAACGGCGAGTGGGTCAATCAGAACGATCACGTCACCAGGGAGAGCCTGGACCAGCTCACAGGTAAGCACAACGCGGAGAACTGTAAACACAGCAACACACACACACACACACACAGTAATGTCACCTTGTATTATACAGAGATAAACATCAAACTTAATTACCAACATCATTTTCAGCTATATAATCCATTAGGTCCTTTAGGACTTAATGTGCGCGCTAACTGCTTCTGGCATTCAGCCACTGCATAATTTACATGCACTGTGTAATATTTGCTTCAGCGGTTTCCCTCCCTCTTCCCTCTCTGCGCAGGTCTGGTGGTGAGGGAAGTGGACATCTCTGTGTCACGGACCCAGGTGGAGGAGCTGTTCGGCCTGGAGGACTACTGGTGCCAGTGTGTGGCCTGGAGCTCGGCCGGCACCACCAAGAGCAACCGTGCCTACGTTCGCATTGCATGTCAGTATCAAGGCTGTCGGTCCTTGTGTGAAACACAGACAAAGAAAGGAGACATTCCTGATTTTATGCTTGTTGTATGTGTCAGCTTAAGCATAAATGCAAATGAATTGGCTGCAGCATCCCGCCGCCGGTCCCCCCATGGAAATACATGCTGCGGTTTGATTGACACGTTGCATGTTTATGAGGGTGTGGAGTGAAAAATGCGATTCGGTGACAGAGGCTTTGCATAGCATGCGAGAGAGTTTGTGTGGCAGACAGAGTCACCAAGAAAGCCTGCGTGTCAGTCACAGTACGTGTGTCGCCCCCTGTAGACCTGAGGAAGAACTTCGAGCAGGAGCCCCTCGGGAGGGAAGTGCGGCTGGAGCAGGAGGTGCTGCTGCAGTGTCGGCCCCCGGAGGGCATGCCCGCTGCGGAGGTACGCGTTTCTCTCCTCATCAACATTACCTTAACATGTTCACTTAACTGTTGTTCGTCTCTTGGTGAAATATTTACACCTACTTTTGCAGCCGTCTGACAATGTGGCAATAAAAGAGCTCTTTTATTGGCATATACGTTAGCACATGCTGATTCTTCAGCAACACATCAGATAGACTTTATGTTCTTGGACTAAAGCAGTACAGCAAATGTTCATATGTGATATGAAACACCTGAAGAGGGAAATAATTTCTGCTCTTCTCAATAAATTGGAACATCATCAAAAAAGCAGAGTTATGGATTTGAGTTAAGAAGTCATAAAATGCTTTGGACTTGACTTGGACATTCACACCAATGACCCAGCACTGCAGTGTGACTTGAGAGAAAAATTTGATATAATTTTATTATATATAGGAGACAAAACAGAATAGAAAATTATGTGACTGACAATTAAACTTACACATATTGCTGGATGAAAGCTAATAAAGGAATTAATGTTTTACCTAATGTTAGCTTATATTGTTGCAATTTAATCATGGATCCTGAATATCCCATATAGTTTTGTCAAGAGGCAGATGAGACACCAGACCTCGCAATGCAATGAAGCTGAAAGCCACTGTCAGAGATATATGGGCTTCTTTAACTCCTCAGCAGAACCACAGGCTCATCACGTCCATGCTACGCCACATTGATGCAGTAATTCATGCAAAACGAGGCTCAACCAAATACTAAGTACATATAATATACCGTATGTGGACATACTTTTCAGTAGGTTGACATTTCTTCATTTAAAATCATATTTTATTGGTTTTCCGTAATTCGCTAAGAAACTGAGTTTGACTTTTCACCGTCAGCCGAACCAAGAAATAATTAAAAACATGTACAAATGTATACATTAGAGTTCAAAATTTTTCAATTAAGTTCATCAAATAAAATCAATTGCAAGTCAACTTAATTGACTTGCACCTGTGTATGGAAAGCAGCCATTTGATTAGAGAGAGGCTTAAAGCCGGAGTTTGAGAATCAACACAAACCAACAGACTTTCTATCCTCAGACAGAATGATAAAGTTTCAGAAGTGTTTGATCATCACCGTGTGTTGTGGAGTCTTAATACCCTGCAGGTTTATCGTGTTTACTGAGCGGCTCTGTGGATGGCGTGCTGAGTCATGTTCCTGCATAAACACCTGCTGATTTGTGCAGTTTTTTAGGGACTTTCAGCTAAAAGCATTAAAGAAATTAAATTGATTATTTCAGTTTTTAAACCTGAATATCTGCCTCTGTTAATAACTGTTGATAAATGACATCAGCAAGTAATTTTTCTCTTCCCTTGCGTCATTTAAAGGTGGACTGGCTGAAGAACGAGGATGTCATTGATCCGTCACAGGACTCCAATTTCCTGATCACTATTGATCACGACCTGATCATCAAACAGGCCAGACTCTCAGACACGGCAAACTACACTTGCGTGGCGAGAAATGTGGTGGCCAGACGGCGGAGCAGCACAGCCACTCTCATTGTTTATGGTAACTTAAGCTGCACCACATGTTTGTCTTTTTCATTCCTCCAACCTCATCTCACTCATCTTTGATTGTTTGTCCACAACTTTGATTCGTGGAGTCGAGGAGCATTTGAGGTAATTGTGTCACCATAATCACTCCTGTGTTCCTTGATTTAGCAGTAACATAAAACACTTTTATCTAATTTTATCTATATTTATGTACAGTTGAAATCAGATGTTTAGGTATCAGAAATAGTGTATTTTTCACTCTGTGTGACATCAAACCAGACCAAAAACTGAAAAGCGTTATACACAGTTACTTAACTTAGTGGAATCGCCTTTTAAGCAGTACGATTTAACTTAAACGTTTTGACTTTCCTTCCATAAACTTCTCACAATAGTTGGCTGTGATTTTGGCCCATTCCTCCCCATAGAAATGTTTTAACTGAGTCAGGTTTATTAGCCGCCTCGCACTCATAATGTTCTTTAACAGACTGGGATCAGGGCTTTCTGATGGTCACTTGACAAAATATTGACTTTGTCATTCTTAAGTAACTTTGTAACTTAACTTGGCGGGATTATTAGTGTCACTGTCTGCTCTGAAGGACCATTTACCTCTTTCCTCATGCCGCAACCTAGGTGGTGTAATGCACCAGTCCCTCCTACTGCAAAACATGATGCTGCCACCTCCAATGGTATTTTGGGGCTTACAAGCTTCCCACTATTTTCCCCAAATATAACACTAGCTGCATTTCCATTACAAATATATGATGTTGCACTACTGTTGAAAAACATAATTTTACAATTGCGCTGTTTCTTAAATAAGAAACACAATTAAATCACATAGGAATAAGTTTATTAAAGCGAAAAGCCATTAAAAAACATGAGGTGATCCTCCGACTATTTCTTCTTGTCTTCTGCTTGCTCCAGTGGCAACATCCGGTTATTGATCATGTGACTCCTGTGTTGCAAAAAAAAGTGTTTCCATTGCAGTTTTGCGAAATAAACCACTTTCGATAAAGCCATAAAACCACCTCATCCTATCTCCGAAACTTCCAATTGAAAAATGGGAGTTTTTCTAAAATTGTCATGTTTCCACTACGCCAATATATTTTCAAAATATCAAATTACACAATTTTATGATCAATGGACAATGCAGCTACTGATTTTTATGACCAAACACTTTATCATTAGATCACAGGACATATCTTCAAAAATGAAGATCTTTGTCTCTGAGTACACGTGTAAACTATAATCTGGCTTTTTTTTATGTTGCTTTTGGAGTAATAGGCTTCTTCCTCCTAAACGTAAAGCAGGAAAACTGAGAGGTTTTGCTGTTTGTGTGTCTCTGTGTCAGTTAGCGGAGGTTGGTCTTCTTGGACTGAATGGTCAGAGTGTAACGCTCGGTGTGGGCATGGCTGGCAACGTCGTACACGCAGCTGCACCAATCCGGCCCCTCTGAACGGAGGAATCTTCTGTGAGGGCCCGCAGGTGCAGAGAATAACTTGCACCACACTGTGCCCAGGTAAAGAAGAAACCTTTCCAAACTCTTTTGTGCTACAGCCTGAAAAGGCTTCTTGCTCAAAACTGTAACTGCTGGAAGAAGGAATACAGTCATTCACCATTATGACCATCTTTACTTTGCTGTATGTCAAAGCTCCTTTAGACTATGGTTCCTATCCTACACACTGTTTAAAAGCATTGAATCAGCTTAGTTTAAAGATGGGAAAAACTGGGGCTTCCAGACTCATCTCTGTATTCTGTTTTCTGTGCAGTTTCTGTTCTATGAAGAAGCTGAAGTCATTTAAAATGTGTGGCATAGAGACCAAACTTGATCGTTATTTTTGCAGCTTGACATATGGAATTTTGCTGATTCTGTGAAATTCTAAACAGCTCAAATTTTGTTGAGAGGTAAAAGATAATGCAGATAATACTTAAAACATTATTTTCGGTAAAGCAAGGAAATTATCATGTAAGGGTGCTCATAATTTTAAAACTTCTGGAAAAGTTTTTTGTGCTGCTGTGCAAGGAGTTAAAATGTGGAATGTTTTGTGGAGAAGAAGCAATGTTCACATGAAAAACTGCTTAAAATGAGTAAATAACATACGGTCTTTATCAAATTCAAATAAGAGAAACATAAATTTGAATTTATTGAACATTTTGTCACCTGATTTTCTAATTATCTAACTGTATATGTTTAGTTTTCTATTGTTTAAATCTTTGAAATATAATTTACAAGAGAGACCTCTATTGATAAAACAAGCCAAATTAAAAACACAGCAACAAAACAAGCAATCAAGAAATTTTTGACTCAATTAAATAAGCTAATAAAATATGAATGAAAAACGAGTGACTCATTTCATGACAATGAGCCACTCAGGCTGTAATCATAATTAAAAATCTTGGGATAATAATATCACATTTTTATGATGAGAAAACAAGCTTGGAATATAGTATTTATCTACATAATGAGATAATGAAATATATTGTAAATACCATTTAATTAACATTGAATCCTGCTTTTAACCTAATGAGATAACTGACACAATGTAACTGTTCAAATTAAAAAAAAACTTAGAATAATATAGTAAAACTGCTATCATGACAAAAACATGTTTGTGATCTTGATATCTGAAAACACTGAAACAAGAAAAATGTTATTCTTACAAAACAAGATAATTTTCTGTCATTACAAAACAAGGTCAGAATTGTGATATCTTCATATAGTGGGTATTGAAACTTATGTTGGCAAAAAAGCTCAGGTTTTTGTTATCTCAAGTTGATAGTATAAACAACTCCTATACATATAAGTAGAGGATATGGCGCATGCACATTTACAATGTTTTGAGCCTTTTAGTGCAAATTTCTAGAGCTTTGAATGTTTAGAATACTCTAATGCACAAACATCATTAAAATAGTGAAACCAAATCACTCTTTTTTATGTTTGCCTGTTTAAAATGATCTGAAAGTCTGAATAAATGTGTAAGAATCTGGGTAGAGTCCAACTCAGCAAACTCAGACACTTCCAGCCATTACATTAGATGCCAGGAGAACGTCATGTCCAATCCTCCTCTACCTGGACTAATGGAAATACTGGGCTGTAAAATGACTCACATCTCTGTCCTTCCAGTGGACGGAGGCTGGACAGAGTGGGCAAAGTGGTCCGCCTGTGGGACAGAGTGCACCCACTGGCGCAGTCGCGAGTGCCAAGCCCCGCTGCCAATAAATGGAGGGAAGCACTGTAGCGGAAGCATGATGGAGAGCAAAAACTGCACTGAGGGCCTTTGTGCAAGAAGTAAGTTTTTTTTTTTTCTTTTTGAACTTTCTTGGTTTTTACATGAATGTGGATCAAAGTAGAAAGTTTTTGGTACTAATGCGCCAATCTGAATTTTTGGTCGATTTTCTAGTCTTTGTTTATTGACCTTCCTGCAAAAAAAAAAAAACATTATTTGAAAGAGCAGTCGCTGTAAGAGGAGATTCTACTGTTATGTTCCGACAAAATTCACACTTCCTTACAATCGCAAGTTATTTGTTAGTTTGGTTTGCATAGCTGGGATTACTCAAATGTCTCTGTGTGTATTCCATGTAATAAGAAGATGCCTACTGTCAGTCCAAAATTTCCAAATAGCAACTTTTTACGTTCTTTTTTAGCCCTCCTGTTATATTGCTCTCTCACACAGTCTAAATGAACTGAAGCCTTGTTTTACGAGGAAAATTCAAGACCCCTTTAACATTTCTGTGTCATCTTACTTCAAGCACTCAGAGTTTGCCATCTCAAAATGATCAGATAATTAAAACGTCACAACAAAACAAGCTTAAGGTCTCATCATCTCGAAATAATGGGGTAGAGATGATGTCGTTAGTTGAAAACAACGACATCCTTTAGTGACACTTGATAATGGGAAACCTTTTTATAGGCAGTAGATTGGGACTGAATGTCTGATATTGATATTGATAAGAAGCAAAATTGCTTCCTAATTCGTGACAGATTTCAGCTGGTGTCATGTCTTACACAGAATTTAATTTGTGGATATATATATTTAAACCTGTCACAATACACAATTAATTAATTAATCACATGAGGAATTAAAATGAGCCTGATAATTTCCATCCTGGTGATTACTGTTTTTTTAAAGGGCAATTTTGTATAAAGACAAGTCATAATCCATTTTATTTACGGTTTCTATTGTTTATATTTCACTCGATCTGTGTTTTATTTTGGATATTTAAAATATCTTCTAATCCTAGAGTAAATATTTCTTTATAAAACTCAACACATTATTTAGAAATGGTCTTAGCGCAACAATATTACTGTTTATCTCATTCGTTACTGGGAATATTTATCGTTGTTACCGACGTCTGGTCAGATTTTCAAGTCAAATGCACCTTCTGAAATATATATTTTCTTACACAAGGTGTGGTGTGATCAGTACTTTTTTTTTAACCTGCTGTACTAAAAAGACTATTTCAGTCAGAGCCATAGGTGTCCGTTCCTTGAGAGCATGTTTGGTGCTTCAGGTGGCCGTTCATATGATAACTATAAAAATCTCGCCTGCAGTGATTTCTTTGCTCTTAGTTCAGCGTTTTGTAAAGCAAAGCGCATTTCAAAGCTGTCTTTTTGTAAAAAGCAGTTTTCCAGGGGTGTTAGGCCACTAAAGCGCCGACGTTTCGAGAGATGAAAGCAAGACAGACAGATGATTCATGAGGAAAATGTTTAGCTTTATAAAAAGAGAAGGCAACCGCTCCAGATCTAAAAAGCTCAACAAAAAAAAAAAAAAAAAAGGGGGAAGTGAAAAGGAAAACCGGTGCAAGTATGGGCTAAGAGAGCGGATCGAGTGGGAAGTGAGCATGACACGGCCAAGTCGAAAAATTAGCACAGAGGAGAGCATATGAGAGTGAGTCAGACTCACTCTGACACCCAATGTGCTGCCCGTGACGAGCTGGGAAGAATCCAACCGACAGCGCATTCGCATCTCACAGCTGCACAACCAAAAAGACAGAGGGATGCATTCAATTCATAGACAAACTCACAAGAAAGTGACAAAACAATAAATCCAACCCAACAGAGAAAGTTCCCTAAAATTGTGAGCATTATTCATATTGCAAGATGGCACGCACACTCAGAGCAGCTCTCTGCTTCAGATCTGTCAGACAAGCAAGCAAGTCCTGACAGAAAGAGGCTTCTTCACAGCTGATCTGTTCTCGTTCTGAGGAGGGAATCAGGAAGAAGGTCTCTGAGGTGGTTTTTACTTAAAGGGAACACACAAATCGATGTTCTCCTGATCTGTAAATGTGTAACATGGCAGGCTGCAGGTGACATCTTGATTTCCCCCTGCATGTTTAAATGATTATTCCGCGGGTCACAAGCTGCTCTGATGAAATTCACATGATCAAATCACCAGCGCTCGGTCCCGCTTTTCCCCCTCGTCATAAATGTACAATGCTGTGAGACATCTCCACCCGTTGCGCTCATTACATCCCTGCTAGATTCTAATTGCTATTGGACGAAAGACGAACTCCAGGAAACCATTTGGTGCTTTGATGATGCTGCAGAGGGAAAGTTATTTGATTTGAGATCTGCTAAGTGACACAATCCTGAAAGATGGGTTTGATATTCTTCCGACTGTTCAGTTATGATTCACGGTGGAAGTTACTGCTCCCATTGGGACAGATGTTGGGGGTTTTTTTTGTGGGATGAAGGTTATAATTTACCCTGCGGGGGATAGAGAGCGGTCTGCTTAGATCTATAGTGTCACTTACTTTGTAGCACACAAATACAAGTGTCATTTTTAAATCATTGATTATTACTTTTTTTTTTTTTGCTCATAAATGAGCAAAAAAGTTTTCTACTGCATTAAATTATTGCATCTTTCATTTGCATAAATAGTTCATCCCTTTTTATGTTTTTGTTCCCATTTCCTTACGTTCTGTTTTTGTTTCTTTTTTCTCTCGTTCTAACAGATAAAAAGGTCTCAATAGAACATGCGAGCCATCGTAAGTCCACCTTCCACACGACTTTGCTTTCCACTCTGTCTGTCTCCTTCTCCTTTACGTGTGTGAGCGAATGTGTGTTCATACACGTTGGGAATCTGAACGCGTGTGTCAGCATCTTCTGCGTCTTGTGTCAGCGCAGATGGTGCTTAGTGAAGACAGGCATCGTCTTCCTGTCCAGCAGAAAAGTTTGATGTTGTTTAGTCTGTTTGAAACAGGCGTCCTACACAGTCTGGCAGCTTTTAGACGAGTTTCATTCAGGAATTTTCCAGGCGTGAAAAAGTATGGGACAAGGAAATAGAGAATGGAGAAATGTTTGTTTCAAGATTTTATTTTGTATGTTATTCCATGTTCATCCACTCATTTGTTTATCCATCCATCCATCCATCCATCCATCCATCCAACCATCCATCCAACCATCCATCCATCCATCCATCCATCCATCCATCCATCCATCCATCCATCCATCCATCCATCCATCCATCCATCCATCCATCCACGTTCCGTTTTGTGTCTAATTATGTTCTGTTATAAAAGCCCTGAAGCCTCCGGAGGTTTAAATCAGTAAAACGTGGACCGTGCTGAAACGTTGACCTGAACTTAATCACGTTTCCCTCCTTTACTCCCACACAGGGGTCAGATTATTTTCTGGCATTAAAACATTTGACTTCTCAGTTCATCTGTGTGACTTGGTTTACATTCGAACTGATGGTAATTCCTCTGGCTTAATGCGATGTGGACTAAGGGGAGAGTAGCTGCAGCAACGCACCTAATTCGCTATTGTTCCATTTCTTGTAATAAGTGTGGACGGCTGTCGGATTCGGTTGAGTCGCGCCACGTGAGCAACGGGGCTCCCTTCTGCCAGCTCGCCTGCCTCCGGCTTTCTTCTCCTCCTGCTGAAGAGTCTTTGGCTATGCTTATCTCCCCTCCTCAACACACGTACAATGCCTCTCCACAAATCACAACCTTATCTTCCTCCTTCCTGTCCTTTTTGCCAAATTGCTTCTCATCTAGCCCTCTCAACCAGCCTGTCTTACGTCTTCTTGTTTTTTTTTTTGTTTTGTTTTTTTTTTCCTCCCGCCAACTTTGCTCCTTCTCTTCTTGACTCCTCTCTGCTGTGGTGTGACTGGCTCACGTGCGTCTGGTTCTGCCAGAGTTGGGGAGTCTGGGCTAAGCAGGCGGTGCACAGCCTACTGACCAGTCAAAACCAATCACCCAGCAGGGGAGGCTGAGCGAGCTCAACAGGGTGCAGGTGAAGCTGGGGCCAAATAACCCCCCCACAGCCAACCTCGGTTCGTGATTATTTTTGGGATGAGATGCGTCTCTTCTCGGTAGAAGGAGGCTGTTAATTAATGAGGTGATCTCTATTAACCCTTTTCTTTAAACTGAACACGGGGTGCATTTTAACGGTCAGCATGTTGTGAAGAAATGCATGAGAAGTTGTAGCCTGTCTGTGCAAAAATCTATAGCTGCTTCCAAACGTGTTTCAGCTCACAGCCACACTTACGGACACTAACATCAGAACGTTTTATTCAGATTTTATGTTATAAACCAGCACAAAACTGTGCAGTGGAGGACAACAACAGGTCTTTCTATTTATTCGACCAGTAGAAATCTGAAAAGTGTGGCATGGATTTGTATAATTGCACTTTGCACTAATCTGATGGCTGAGTAATCCATATACCAAATTAAAAACAGTAAACTTCATTGTTGTTGAGCTCATATGTCTGTTTATTCAATAATTTAGCTACTTTTTTTTTTTATTGTCGATATATGGTTTCTGATTGAAATGTGATAAATTACAATAAATTAACCACTAGTTTTGATCAAAAATTATTATTTTTTTTAAAGGTTTCTGTGGCGTTTTTATGGATTGCACATAAGGTGACAAAGACAGACAGGAAATGTGGACAGAGAGAGAAGGGTCGAGAATGATGCACAGCAACAGTTTGGCCGGCTGAAGTCAAACCAAAGACTCTGGTGCTCGGGGTATTTCAGCCCATGTGGTTTACGCTCAGAGCATTCTGCCACCGGCCTGCACTGAGGACTGTTGATATCATCTGCAATCTGTTGTATTGTAAAATGTTTGGAGGCAGTCGGACTGAGATAGCGATGAGCAGAGATCGCTGCTGTCTGCTGGGGATTTCAGCAATCCATGATTTTATTCTTGCTTGTTAATTCAGAGGGAAAACGTTATACGATAGAAAATGGTTGCTAACAAAATCACAGGTGGCGCAGTAACTGGAGCTCTTACTTTTATTTATGTCATTCTATTTTAACTTGTTTAGAGTTTGTGAATTTTTCTTTAGTAGCCGCTGACTTCGTCTTTACATTACTATTTTTTGATTAATAACTGGATAGTGAAAGGTGCTTAGTATGTTTTGTTTTTTTTTTCTTTTTAAAGAATTTGAATCAGGAGAAACTAAAAATTTTGCCCCTTTAAGAATTCTGGGTAGAACAGACAAAGAATGTTTTTCATCTTAAATACAAAATGTAGTTTGGTTCTCTGAGGACGTTGTTCTCTTAGCAAATGGCATGTTTTAGTCCTTACCATTTTATGCTCCAGTTAATGATTATCTGATTACTAAATTAGTCGACTTCAGTAATCAATTAATTATTTCAGCCCTGTTTACTTTATCAAAGCTAATATTTTCTTCAGAGTCATTGTGTAGTTTCAGCAGGAACTCGAACAACTTGCTTTTTTTTTTTTTTTTGCAGTATGTAGATAATAACATGATTTATCTCCGTCCTTGTTGTCTCATCTTACACTGTCTGCCTTTCCCCTGCAGCGTTGTCTCCTGGTATGGGTGTAGCGGTGTACACAGGCCTGGTGGTAGCCTTGCTGCTGACGGTGGTCATGGCTCTTGGTGTGGGTGTGCTGGCGTATCGCCGCCGATGTCGCCATCTCCACGGAGACATCACAGATTCTTCATCTGCTCTTACTGCAGCGTTTCATCCCGGCAACTACAAGCCTCCCAGACAGGGTGAGTTTGCACACATTACATCCATACAGGGCCATGGAGAAGTATTCACACACACACATTTTTTTTTTTTTTTTTTTTTTGCATTTTAACTGTATTTTCAATACATCTTATTGTTGTTGTTTTTTTTTTATTTGTTTTGATGATTAAAAAAAATTGCTCAGTGGAAGGAGAATGATCCAACATTTCCAAACTTAAAAAAAAAAAAAATCTGAAAAGTGTGGCATGCATTTGTTTTTTGCCTCTTTGAGTTAAGAACTTGCAGAACCACCACAGTTGTAATTACAGCTGCAGGCTTTTGGGGTTTTCTATACAGATTTACTAAAACAGCTCATTGATTGGATGGAGAACAGCAAATTCTTAATCATGCTTCTGGCGGCAGTTGATTTTGATGTATTTTATTGAGGAGCATCAAAGTTTCTACTTTACGAGCAAAAAAACTTCACTTTGTGTCTTCTTTTTAGAAAATTGTGTTCGTGTATTTCCACTAGGGCATTTAAACACAAACACACTGGATTTACCTTGACAAAATAATTACAATTTATTTGCAAAAAATAAAAACATAAACTCCTGACTGTGCGTGACAAACACCACATTTGAGCTACAGTTTTAACAGAAATATTAGAAAGGACCTGGTGTTGTATATTAATATTCAGTTCCTTGAACTTGAACACTGTATCTGCAGATAAATAAAACTCCAATGACATTCACTGAAATTTAGTGTTTTATTGTGACAATATATGACGTTAAAGGAGTATTAATGCTTTTGATAGGCACTCGGTGAACTTTTTGATTTTGAACATTATGGATGTAACTTTCTATATTCTTCTTGCTATTCTTTTCAAAGAAGTACCTCTTATATTTCACCATCGCATTACTATATATAATCCTGCTATGAATCAGCTCCCATGTACCATTACCTCCTCTCAGTCAAGTCTGGATCCCTCCTTAATGCATGACATTTTTCACACTTTAAGCATTTATCAGAGTGTCTTTTCTCCTGCTCTGGCTATCAAATATTAATTAGCAACATTAATCCATTTTATTCGCCTCACTGTGAGCGCTCTCAGCCCCGCCTGTGTCATTTCCAGTCCTAAAAGCCCCATTTTTACCCCTATGTTTGCAGATAATCCTCTGCACCCCTCGGCTCCTCCGGATCTGACAGCGACAGCCGGTGCTTTCCGCGGACCACTCTTCTCGCTGCCTCAGGGCATCAACGACAGCCCGCACAAAATCCCCATGACCACCTCCCCCCTGCTGGACCCGCTCCCCAGTCTTAAAATCAAGGTGTACAACTCGTCCACTCTGTCCTCCCTGGAGCTCCCGGCTGACATGGGCGTTGGCGACGGCGAGATTCTGAGCCTGAAGTCGGTGGGCACCGTGGGCCGAGAGCGAGAGTTTCACAGCCACACGCTGTCCAGAGAGCCGGGGCTGAGCACCAGCGCCACGCTGGGGCATCTGGGTGGACGGCTTACCATCCCCAACACGGGTAAAACTCCTTCCAAGAAAGACTAGCCAATGTCAGGCGATGTTGATTACAGATTAAACAAGTCGGCACGTCTTCTCCCAAAGGTGTGAGCCTGCTGGTCCCGCCTGGCACAATCCCTCAGGGGAAGTTCTACGAGATGTACCTCATTATTAACAAGTGGGACAAAACAACGTGAGTGTCCTTCATCTTTATTCCTTTTCTCCCCCACCCTCCTTCAGCAGCCGCAGGGCAGCATAGACCTTTCTCTCACCTCAATCAGTAACTTCTCCAATGCGAGGCTTGCTGCCGTGAAAAAAAAAAAAAAGTCCTTTTGGAGTCTCTTTTCCCGAGGTCAGAAATTTGAGCGAATTCCAAGCTGTTCAGGCAATTAGCTTTTAATAAATGAAGTGTGGCAATTCGTTGCAAACATGTACGTGTTGGGGGTTTTGCAGGTTACCCTCAGAGGGGAGCCAGACTGTGCTAAGTCCCGTGGTGAGCTGTGGTCCATCAAGTATGCTGCTGAACCGGCCTGTTGTCCTGACGCTTCCCCATTGCGCTCAGCTGGACACGCCCACGCCCGACTGGACCCTCACGCTCAAAACGCAAACGCACCAGGGAGCATGGGAGGTAAGTCATCCCTAAGCTGTTTTCAGATCGTTTATTTTACAATTAAGTCAAACTCCACTCGCCGTTTCCAGGAGGTGCTGACGGTCGGGGAGGAGACTTTGTCGTCTCCTTGCTACCTGCAGCTGGAGGAGGAATGCTGCCATGTCCTCATGGAGCAGCTGGGAACGTACAGCCTGGTGGGCCAGTCCTGCCCTCCGCGGCCGGCCTGCAAGCGCCTGCAGTTGGCTCTGTTCGCTCCCCGCGCGCCATGCCTCTCCCTGGACTACAGCCTGCGCATCTACTGCATCCATGACACGCCACACGCGCTCAAGGTGCCGCTCCGACTTTCCCGTTTTGCCCTCCGCAGCATATAAATGCTCTGCAGGCCTCGCTTGCCTTAGCATTCGTTGCCTTTAAGAAAATATCAAATATTTTGTAGATTAAAGGGAATAAAGAACCTTTTGTGTGCATCCTGTTAGATCTAAAGAAAATGACTGTACCTAAAGTCAAAATGTTAGTGGTGCTGTGAAGGTCTGGAGTTGCTCTGCTGCCTCAGGACCTGGATGACTTGCTGTAATCGATGGAAGCGTCGTTCCGCTCTCTCAAGGAGAACCTCTGGGCATCACTTTGTGAGCTCAAGCACATTAGGGTTATTAGTATGATTGATTAAATGGGAAAAAGAAATAACAAAAGGCTCTATTATACGCTGACCTTTCAAAACTGTGTGAATATAATTTTTTGAATTCACTTGATTGTTAAAAGTGCTTTTAAATAGGCACATAAAACACTAAGACGCTGTTTCACACCACGGCGGCCGCTTTGTAGCTGTATCCTGTCTGTGATTGCCGGTGCTGGTTTGCATTCAAGTCTTAAATTAGGTGATGAGTTCAAAACCATTGTAAAGGTCCACTTTCAGAATATCTAATTGCTTTCATGGCTCACATTTCTGGTGTTATTGTCTCCTGCACTGTGTCTCTAATGAACTCCATGTCAGAAGAAATCTCCGTCTGCATGATCTCATCTGTACTGCTTCACTAACTCGGCTTCTCTGTGTTTGAGAAAATTCTTCTAACCTTTTATTTTCCTCTCTGCTGAAGCCTTCTGAAAGCCTGTCTCACCAATCCCAGCTATTTGCAGCCAACATGCTCTTTGAGTAACTTTTATCTGCGGAAAGCTTTTTTCTAAGCCACATGGGACGCTTAAAATTAATGTTCAGGTTTGACTGTCTCTAAAAGAGCTAAAGTTGCGCTAATGTTTCTTCATAGCGCTCTTAATGGTTTCTTCATGGAATATATATATGTTCATAAAAGTGGATTAAAACAAACACAGTAGTGTAACTCAGATTGATTTAATTCATATTCAATTATTTTTGAATAAAGTTTGGTCCAATGATCATCATTTACTTGCAGTTCCAATTATAAAACATACGCTACACTCAAATTCAGTTAATCTTTTATTCCTAATGATCAAGTCGCATGGAGTCGCTTATATTGATCCACATTGAAAGTGAACGACTTCCTTCTAATACGAAGAAACATTTAGCAGAAATCAGGTTTAACGCATGTGATAATCTGCCCCTACTGGCTTGAGACATAAAAAGAGCAGAAGGCAGGAAAAAACACTTGAAAACGGCCCAGAAGAACTTTCTGTGTAAAAGAAAATGTAAAAAGCTGAAGGTATCAGGAGCACCTTAAAAAGTTTCATCGAGAAAAAAGACAGCTAAACACAGAGCCACAGGAACAGGGACACTTTCTAAAGCTCAACATATTCATCCAGATTCTTGGAGTTTTGAAGAGCAAACTAACACAAGAATTCACTGTTTGTTTATTGCTAAAGCATCTACTGTTACTATTAGAAAATAGTTCATTTTTCTCTCTTTTAAGTGTTTCATTAAGTTTCCACCCCTTCTAAGCAGTGATTTCTGTTTAGAGGGGAAAACAGAGCGAGTTCTAATAATTAATGGCAGAAAATAGTATGTCTGCCAATGACTCAGACCGAGAGAAAGAGACAGAAGCACTCAGTAAAGATTACTTTGTAAGATAGAAAAATGCAAAGGCACCAGAAGCTTGTCAATAAATCCATCTAGAATATAGAGACAGCTACAAACAGAAGCACTGAAGTTCTGTAGATCAAAATACTCATCTGGGTTCTTGGAGTGTTACAGTCAAACCCAGGAACTCCAGATCTTGAGGGCTGGTGTTCTGCAAGCTATACGTGTGTCTGTGGTCCAACACCTGTTTCAAATTTCTTCTGCCAGTTGACAGATTTGCATGCCAACGATTTAGTCAAGGAAAAGTGTGTTGAGGCAGGAAAATATCTATGCAGAACATCGTTCCTCCAGGACTGAAGTAGCCAAAGTTAACACAAAGTTAATAGTATCAGTTGGACCCATGGAGAAAAGAGGCAGCTAAGGAAGAGAAGGAAAACTGAATGGATCACCTAACAATTAATTGCACCAACAATTGCAAATACTGCATAAAAGTAGAGAAGCTCCCTTTGGTTAAATAAGGGTAGAAATTTACATTCAACATATGTTGTATAAAATTTACTTTAAAAGTCTCAAACAATAAAACAAAAGTCATAAAGGGTCAAAATATGGATGCATGCCTCTGAATAATAATAAAAGCTAATATACCTTATTTCCATAGTGGCTCGTGGCAATAGTGGCACATGGCCTCTGTCAGTCTTTCTCCAGCTATGCATCCAAATTAAATTTCAGCACATTAATATTAAACCTTCAAATCCCTCAAGAAACAACAGAGCAGTAGAGTAGAAAAATAATACAAACTTCGTTCTAAAAACGAGGAGAACAACAAACTGAACTCTGAGCAGGTAAATATTCAAATATAGTCAGTTTTCTATAAAATGCTCACCAAAGAAACACGAGATTAAAGTTTGCCTAACTTTTATAATTCAAAAACAAAATCCTACCAAGTATTTTTGGTCTTGTAGTGCAAATATCTCAATACACTTGAAGTAAGGCAAAAGATAACTTATTAGTAACTTTTCTGCAAGACATGGGAGCTTGTTTTAAGAAAGTAATTCCTTGATTTTGATGGAAAAAAATTTTAGTTCCACTGACAGATCATTTCTCTTATATCAAGAAACATTCCTCATGTTAGAGAGAGTTATATTTGCACTAGAAATCGACAAATATACTTGGTAATTTTTTGTTTTGTTTTTTGCACCAGTCTGCACTTTCTGTTCCTGCATCCTACAAACTTTGCATTTACATTTAAGCGAAACATTTTTCAAAACTTGATGCATTAAAGTGATAAAGTCAGCATTTTCCTAATTGGGTATGCTTTCTGTCTGTCTGTACGCAGGAAGTCCTGGATCTGGAGAGGAGCCTGGGTGGAGTTTTACTAGAAGACCCGAAGCCGCTGTTCTTCAAAGACAGCTACCACAACCTCCGCCTGTCCATCCACGACATTCCTCACAATCACTGGAGGAGCAAACTTCTGGCCAAGTACCAGGTGCTTCACCAAAACATTCTGCATTCATTTTGGATCATCTCTTCATGAGACAAATAAAGCTCTGTCATTTGATGATTTTGCAACTACAAAGTTATTTGTACGTCTAAACTGAATCTTCCTGTTATTTTTTTTTTGTTAATAATATAAAATAAGTCTATGAAAAACAATTAAATGTTAATGATTAAAAATGGCACAAAAGCAGAAAGCACTGATTGGAAATTTTGTGAGCAAATATTAAATTTTAAGAGTTTTTCTTATCAGAGAAAATATTCTGTGGGGCTTCTTTCAGCGCTGCTGTAAACATCGTGCCTCTCCACTGACTAGATACTGCAGAAATAAGATTACAGTCCGAATCTGTTCAGAATAAACAAACAGGAAAGCTGATAGCGGTCCTAATTTATGGGCTTTGTGCGCTTGAAATAAATCGCAATCAAACAGTTGTAGGAAACATTTGCTCCTTGAATAGAAACCAGATGCCCCTGTGGATGATTCTGTGCATCAAAAGGTTTGAAACACGCGTCTTTGCGCGACAGGAGATCCCTTTCTATCACATTTGGAGCGGCAGCCAGAGACCTTTACACTGCACCTTCAGCCTGGAGCGAGCCAGCCTGGCCGTGTCGCAGCTCGCCTGCAAGATCTGCGTCCGGCAGGTGGAAGGGGAGGGACAGATATTCCAGCTGCACACGGACATCCAGGAGGTAATGTTTACGACACAGATCCTCAGCTGCACTGACACTCACGTGTTTACACCGCGGTTAATCTGAACTCCTCTGTCAAAACAGACTCTCCCACCTCACTCACCACTCCCGTCGGGAAGCACCTGCCTGCCTTCCTCTCAGGTGGGACCTTATGCCTTTCGCCTGCCCGACTCCATCCGACAGAAGATCTGCGCCAGCTTGGACGCGCCCAGCGCTCGAGGGTGCGACTGGAGACTTCTGGCTCGCAGTCTGGGCTTTGACAGGTCAGATCCATCTCACATGTTCGTGTCTGGGTGAGATGGTTTATACATGATGGATATTTGCTGTCAAGAGAAAGTTTCACCAGCACTTTGGAAGGAAGGAAAAGAAATCTGTGTAAAGACTTTTCCATCTCAAAAATGGCACGAAAACCAGAGCAGCAAATTCACAGAGCTCTGTGTATGAACTACATTTGTGCAAACCATATTATGTGCAGCTCACTAAAATAAAGCACAGTTAGTACTGTTAATGAAAATCCCATTTGACCTGAAAGATTTGAGAAGAAAAATGTGCGTATTTTCAATTCAGAATACAAATGTTTTAAAACAAACAACGTTTCAAATAGAGAGAGCTACAAACTAGATTCCTTTCCAGTATAATCTAATGTTGCTCTTTATGTTATGAGAACAGCCTTTGTCAAGACATTAAGCTCTCTGTTCAAAACTATTTTCCTCAACTCCTTATTCCAGGTTGCATCTTTTCTGATTGGGGCTGGAGAGGAAAACAGCTGCAACCTGTCAGAAAAAAAACAAATATAGAGCCGATTTTTGTTCATCTGCTGGATTTGATGAGTGTGTTTGTGCCTGTATGTCTTGAGTGTAATCTGCATTGTAAATCTGGTTCAGAAATTAAATGCATAATGTGCGAAAGATCTGTGAACAACTGGCATTACTTAGTTTTACTTTAGTAGACTACATGCTCTCAGGACGAATAAAAATGATATTCAATATAAAAATGTCAGGCTGCAGAGATTTATGTCCATCTGTGGTACACTCTATGGACTCTGGGCTCCTTTTACTGCATCAGTGGCGAGGAGGTGATCAGCCTGTGGCTCTGCCTAGCTATAGAGGAAGCCCTGATTGCTTTGAATGGACATGTGCAAAGTTCTGTTTGGGAATATCCAATAAATTATCCCAGTAAAAGAGTGTTTAAAACATCTTTAAACTTTCCCTGAGAAACCAAAGCATTATGATTTAGTTTTCCCTAAAAATGACCAACATAAGAGGATGCAATCCTACCAAGTTCAGAAGAAAAAAAACTGTAGTTTTTCCTTCCACTCTATTTTCTAATCCTAGAACAGCCTGTGTCTCTTTCGATGACCGTGTTGTGTTGTGCCCTCCTTGTGGAGTTTTTTATTGGCTGTATTCTGGACAACTGTTATGTTTGCTGTCTTCTCCGTGGTTGTGTTGATCATAATGCAACGTTTCTGTATTAAAACATCTTTCTGTTGCTCTTTGGTGAGAAGGAGTTTTTTTTTTTTCATAACCCATAATCATTGAAGTGTACCTGGATATAATATATGGTAACGTTTTAATTTTCACCAACTAACACATATACATCTGTGTTTGTACCTAAATTTCCAAAGACGTAAGAAATTTCTTAACCTGTGATTTTGTTGTTTTTTTTTTTTGTTTGTTTTTTTTTTAAAGATAGAACAGGAATTTTAATTGTTACTGTTATGATGTTTTAGAAATTAAGTTTGCGTGTCTTCTCTCAACATGTCCTCTCCTCCGTCGCAGGTATTTGAACTACTTCGCCACAAAGCCCAGCCCCACAGGTGTTCTGCTGGACTTATGGGAAGCGTGTCACCAAGGTGACGCAGACCTGGTCTCTCTGGCGACGGCTCTGGAGGAGATGGGCAAAAGTGAAGTGCTGGTTGTCATGACAACAGATGGGGATTGTTGATTGACCAAGATACACAAGACCAAGCAAGACATTTTAGGACTTTTGTTTCGGGAGGGGGTTCGTTCCACCGCAGTGATGAAAATGAGAATCCTTGCCTATGAATATGCACACGCTGACACAGATCTTTCATCAGCAGAGCATTTTGGTTGTACTACCCACTCTTTTGCTGAGTCCTGACCAGCCATTGTAGCTGCATATGAACCATAACCCGTCCCCATGTGTGCCGTCCAACTGCCAGCCTGATTCAGCCTCAGCTCTCCAAAGCAATATTGGATTTGCAAGATGGAAAACCGTTCTGGGCGCACCCACTTGAACAAATGCTGCAAAGTCTACCAAGATTGTGATGTAACGTGTTAATAAGTGCTGAAAATTACATTATTCTTACATATTTAATAACATTGTTTTAAATTAAGCTACAGAAATCCATTTAGTCAACACGCAGCTAACTGCTGACACGGGATTATTTCAGTAGCAGCATGGAAGTGCATGATTTAATGATTCAACACCATTTCATCTCATGGTACAGGGTTTTGTTTTCTTCATTCTCATTCAGAGTAGGCCGTGACTGACAGGCTGCACCAACCTGCCTGCAGCCGTACACACACACGCGCACGCGTGCGCTCCCCAAAATACATACACACATGGACAAAGTGGTCGTTAATCGACTCGAAAACAGGCAGGCGAAGAATTCTCGTCTTACGGACAGATAAGAATCGGATCCTAAAGGTTTCAGTCATATTGCTTCTGGCTGGAAAAGGGAGGGGGAAAAAAGGGTCTGCCTCTCTTTAATGGTGGGAGATTAAATTGCAAAGTTTGTTTCAGGATTGGCAGATAACTAGACTGACTCTTTTTATTGTCCCAACAAACGCCTCAAAGCCTTGGCATATCGCTCCGACTCACCGGGGTGTTTCTCTTTCATGTTTCCTTGCGTTCCTCCATCGCTCTGCTACGCTCCCTATCTGCTGAAAATAAACTGAATCATCCCTTAAAAGTTTCCTTTGGGGAACGCTTTTTAATTTATTATCCATATTTGTGGATTGCATTTTGTTTTGTTTGTTTTTTTTTATTCTTACTGACAGAGTTATCATATAGGACCTGTTTTACCATTTGTGCTTCTTTAGGCTACTGAGCTGCTCTGGATTATTGTATTTTCATTCTACAGCAAAGTGAATAGATGGTGGTTATTGATAGGAAAAATAATTATATTTTTTATTTTGTGCACCGATTCAAAATGTTAACATTTCCAGTGCCTTGCAAAAGTATTGACACCCTTTGAATTTTTTTCCACATTTTCCCAGCCACAAGATAGATCGTTTTCAAAAGTTTTAACACATAAGAATTTGTGAAAATGTGCCATGCATCTGTGCTCAACCCTCTTTACCCTGATATTCAAATCAACCAAAATTCGGCTTTCTAACTACCCTGGGAGGCCAGGCAAGGAGAGGCAGTCAACATGCCCATGTTAACTTGGGAGGAGCTACACAGATCCTCTGCTCAGATGGGAAAATAAGTTCACAGAAAACCATATTTTATGGGTGAGGAGCAACTGAAAGGCATTTCTGATAGAAACGTATGAGAAATTCCATTAAAGGTTTGTCACAAACCATATAGCAAACAAGTAAAATGAGATTATTTTGGTCAGATATGGAAAACTGTGTGGCAGAAAATTAATGCTGCACATCCCACCATCCCCATGATGGAACCTGGTGGTGGCAGCATCATTCTACGGGGATGGCTTTCTTCAGCATGACCAGAAAAGTGGTCAGAGTGGATTGGAAGATGGATCTGCTAGCAACTAACCCTGAACATAACACCAGAGCTTGTTTAGAGTTAAAACTTACTCATGTGTTAGACTGAGTAAGTCAAAGTCCACACCCAAAATCCAAAGAGTTTGCTCTCTGTTTAACCTAACTCGGCTTTAGATATTTTGCACAGAGGAGTGGGCAAATATTCCAGTTTGTAGATGTGCAGAGCTGGTCGAGACATCCCTCCAAACAATTTGTAAAAAAAACCTTTGAAAATCATATATCCTTTTTGTCGTTCTTCACAATAATGTCTATAAGACATCATTCCCAATAGAATATACTGATGTCTATGGTTTTTACATGTCAAAATTGGGGATCGTTCAAGGTGGATGAGTACTTTTGCGAGGCATCATAATATATAGGACCCCTGCTTTGCTGCATCTGAAAAAGAGACGATTATAGAATAAATTAGCCTTACCTGAAATCAATTTGGCAGCAAGGGACCATATATGTTAATTTACCGCAACACAAGCTTAATTATGTCTTGTAAGACATTCTATCCTCCTTTATGTCACAGTGATGACTTATTGACGATCTTTCTCCTGAGCTGCCTGCTCTGTGGTTAGGCTCCTCGAGCTATTTGTATTATCATTATTGATCGATCAGTTATTGTTAGATGAGAAAATGAAATTTCATCCTCCACAGATTTAGTTTTTTCCTTTCTCTTTTGTGTCTCCAAGAAAGGAGAAGCAAGTGTTTATAGTTTTAAAAAGACAGAAACCAAAACAGCGCCAGTATCCCTCCTCTTCAGCTGTGAGTCATGCAAACTGTTTTGTGTGAATGAAGTGAGCCTGCGTGAATAAATGCATTTGTGGGGGCAGATTGGTGTTCACAAACAAAAAAAAAAAATGTATACATCATTTGGAGCTGTCATTTCTCTCTGTAAGTGCTATGCAAGTACAAAGGAAAAGTGAAGCATTTCCAACTTCTTTTGTTTCCTCCAAGAGTATTTCTATTTTTACAGATCACAGCATTCATAGGGTTTTTGATTTTTGTATCCTGAAGTGGTCTAACGGCGATTTAGTTTTCTTCTTTTCCGGGGCGGTGGGAGAGGATGCTAATCTTGCTCAAAGATTTCTCCGTCTGGACTGGAAGAGTTGGATCACTCGCCTCACCGAGGATGCCATAAATGACGAAAAACAAAAAACAGAGTGGTGCAACGGGCTCAGGACGAGCCGTGGCTTACATGGTGAGGCCATGCCCTGCAGGTCTTCACCAGACTGCAGCCGGTTCAGTGAGCACCGCGGGATGTTTCTCTTTTCGCCGTTCTTGTTGCAGAAACCCCCTTGCTGATGACTATACAGTGTTGTCTTTTTTGCGTGCAGATCTCTCTGTGTCCGCTGGATTGCTGACCGTAATCGCTGGAGTTGCTAAAGCTGAACGTGATTGGTCAGCTCACTTGAAGGAGACAAACTCTGCCTTTGTTCAAATATTCAGACATTTTTACAGAAAATCTAAATGGGTTCAGTGACATTATTTTGTCTCTGTGAAGTACCAATTGTAAATACCTGTCTAGCCTTCTTACTTGTAACTAAATATAATTTTTATGCAATAAATTATATTTCTTAGATTTACATGGATATGTGTTTTGTCCTTTTTTTTCTTTAGTTCCATTATACATATATATTTGACTTCAAATAAAACATTAGAAAAATCCCTTTGAATGCTTCTCAAATGGTTCTATTGGACAAAATGACTCCTAAATGGCATCTGTTGCGTCAATTACACCCCATTTTAACTGAAAATGCGAAGGAGCTCAACCTGCACCACTTTGCTTCACACCTCACCGACAAATTCCCTTTAGGTCCATTTAGCTTCGAAGGCTTTTAACAGGCAGGCCGACGGGTTCTCACATTAACAGGTCTTGGAGACACTAATAGTGCCCTTCAAGGACTGACTTGGGCATTTACATCAAGGGTTCTAACCTCAGTCCTTTTATGACTGCAGCATGTGGGGGGAATTGTTGGATTATTCCATTTTGTCAGAAATAAATATCCCATTTTTACTGATTGTGCACCTAGATGTGGCCTCAAAAGCCTAGCAACACTTGGCACCTGTTGTATTAATTATTGCACTGCTAATTGGGAGCTGCCTTGACAGCCAATGCACAAATGAAGCGGGTCTTTAGTAATATCTAAAACGCTGCCTTCATTCTTCACACAACTTAATTGTGTGAAGTGAAAATACAGACCTGCACCATACAACCTGCTGCATGCATGGTGCTGTGAAAACGTATTTGCCTGCTTGAAGATTTCTTATTTGTATCAAAATTGAATGTTTTAAATCATTAAAAAATATCAGGCAAAGGTAAGTAGAGTAAAGACAAATGATTATTTAATTTATTAAAGGGGACAAAAGACATCCAAGACAACCTCAACCTATGTGAAAAATTCTCAATGAGATTTTTACTTCACGGTGGAGAAATTTTGTCCCACTCCTCTTTCCACAATTGTTTTGATTTAGCTTAATTAGAAGGTTTCTAAGCAACAAGCCTGTTTAAGGCTATGCCACACCATTTTAATCAGTTTCATGTGCAGACTTTGACTAGAGGACAGAACTATGATTCTGGGAATTTTCCTTTTCTTTTTAGCAAGTTGACGTTCGGAGGTCAACTTGCTGGTGTGTTGCTGATTGTTGTCCTGTTGCATAACCCAAATGTGCCTGAGTGTAAAATCGCAAAATGATGGACAAACTGTCAGCATGTCCTGTTAATTACTATAATTACTGTAGGTCATCCATGAGGTCATCCATGTCCAGAAGCAATAATGCAGCCCCAAAATATCACATTACTGACATGTTTGACTCTAGATTTCATGTTATTTTTCCTTACACCAGATGTAACACAACAAACACCATATAAATGGTTCCACTATTGTCTCGTCAGTCCACAGAAATGCCCTCAAAAGTCTTGGGGGTCATCAATAATGACTTTGTCTGATGTTCTCCTATGGTGACCCCTTTGCTAAGTTTATTTTTTGTTGTTGAATCATGACATGATCTGACATGATAACATCGTCACTGCTGTTCTCGAACTGAAAAGAAAAATTAAGGTGTGGCACAATGTGAGACTCTTATGGTGTCATAATCCTGAGTAGATGCAATGCAGTGATCCTTGTAATCACACCTACATTTAAAATAACATTATGTGACATGATCTGTTATGCATACTGGTAGAACCCAACATCAGGAAAGAGACCGGCAAAATCATGCTGGAGGGGAAAATTTAACTATTAAACTAGAAACACAAGATGAGCAAACAAATGAATCCATCTATTGATGAATGAACTGAAGAGGTATAAATACTAAACATCAGTGATTAAATACTGAAAACAGCAAGAACTATAGGAGGCTGATTACACAGAAAACAGACATAGAGAGAAATATCTGAACACAAGGAAGCTTTGAGAAATAACCCCAAAAAATCCCCAAAATAACTCAAAATGAGAATCTGAACACGGAATTCATCAAACATGTAAAATCAAAGTTCTCCACATGATGACTGAAACCCAAAAGCAACATTTTTCCCAATTCTTCCAGCTGATATTTAGGGTACATATAATAATGTTCTCTATTAATAATTTAGAAAGGAGCCAGCTTTAACACTCTCTTTTTTTATGGTGACAGATTTGATCTTGTTATTCCCATAATTTTCACTAGAAGAAAGGAGTCTACAGATTTTCCTTTCCAGCAGCAAAGCAGGTCATCTCTTGTGACTTATGTGCCTGAAACGTTCAGCCTCGTTTCTTCTAATAGGAGCAGAATGACGGGACAAACTGTCCTATAGCGCCATCTTCTGGTCCATATGGCCTAGTGAAATCCTAAATTATTATTTTTTTAATAAATTACACACAGAGTTAGACCTTAATTAAAACTGAATCTTCAAAAACAACAGGACATATCCAGCATGGTGAAATTACTAGCACTTTAATAGTAACAGATTCACTTTCAGGTTTTAGTTACAGTTTTTGTGTTGATAACATTTTACTCATGAACTGAAAAGGTCCAAATCCTGTTGGGATACCGTTTAAAAAGCCTATCAAACAGAGTAACTGGTAAATGTGGTATTAATTCAGCCCCTATTTATTATAAGAAGTTAGAGAACTACTATTCTAAGATGTGTTTTATTTATTTATTTATTATTGAAAAGCGTATTTCAGTAACTCTTAAAATTTAAATGTATATAAAACACATATTTATTAAGCACAGAGTAAAATATTTTAAGTTTTACCTACAATATATTACAGGTATAACTCACAGCTAATAAAAACAAAACAAAAAAAATCTATTTCTCAGAATATTTTAATATTTCATCAGACCAATAATAAAAGGATTTATGACAGAGAAATGTCAACCTGCTGAAAAGTAAGACCTTTTGCATGAATCATTGCATCAGTGCCACATGGAATGAAGGAGATCAGCCTGTGTTTCTGCTGAAGTGTAATGGATACCTAATGGATCTGATTGTACATACTGCTTTCACTTAGGTCTTTCTTGAAAATTCTCAATAGATTCTCTTTAGGGTTATATTGGGTAAATTGCTCTCCTATGAAGATATTAGTAGGTCTACCTTTGACAGTCTGGGTTGGTATCAAGTCTTACTGGAAAATAAATTCAACACATCATTAATGTTGTCAACAGAAGGTAGCAGGACGTTTTCTATAATTTCTTGGTTTTCCACAGTATTGACTTTTGACCAGATAAAACACAGTGGACTGACCAGCAGATGACATGGCAAACTTTACACTAGGCTTCAGCAACTTGCCCTTCTCCACAATCTTCCTCAGGGTCCGGTCACCTCTTCTCGTTGTGCAGCGTTTTCTGCCACACTTTTTCCTTCCCACCGACTTTCCACTGAGGTGCCTTGATATAACACTCTGCAAACAGCCGATTCGTTCTGAAATTTCTTTCTGTTTCTCACACTCTTGCTTGAGGATGTCAGTGATGGCCTTCCTGACAGCAGTCAGGTCAGCAGTCTGACCCATGATTGCGGTTTTGAGTAATGAACCAGGCTGGGGGCTTTTAAAGGCCTCAGGAATCTTTTTCAGGTGTTTAGAGTTACTTTGTTGATTCAGATGATTATTTTTATTGCTCGTTCAGAGAACTTTTTCATAATATTCTCATTTTTTGAGACAGGGATTTTGGGTTTTCATGAGCTGTTTGCCAAAATCATCAAAATTAAAACAATAAAAGACAAGAAATATTTCAGTTGGTGTGCAATGAATCTAAAATATATGACAATTTAATTTTTATTATGACATTAAGGAAAATAATGAACTTTATCACAATATTCTAATTTTATGACCAGCACCTGTATATGGGTCATACTTGGGCAAATGCAAGTTAAACCCGAAAAATATGTCTATCTGGGACCCATATGGGTATTTGCAGTACCCGTCTTGTGACTGATTCACAATCTTCCCAAATCTGCTGACTACTTCTTTACTTTCGTGCCCAACTTGTCAAGAAGCTAATGAAGACGTATAATCATCAAAATCATTTTAATATATTACTTTTTGTTATGAATCTATATAATATACGAGTTTCATTCTTTGAATTGAATTACTGAATTTAAAAATCTCTTTTTAGTGCAGTACTGAAAAGGAGCCGACTAAATTTGTACTTTTATTGTAAAACGCTGGTGCTTTTCACAATAAAAGCACCAGATTTTTACTTTTACGACGCTCTTAAAAATAAAAATAAGTAGGTCTTCAAATACTTTTAAATGATGTTCCCGTTTACCATATTGTGCAAACAGTTCTGAAAATCAATTTTCTTATTTTAAAGTTTATTTTTTTATCGTGTTTGTTAGTTTTGTTTGCTAACTCTTAAAACCGGAAATGGAGTTGTGCTAATGATTGCAGCTGTTGAAAATCCCACTTCCAAAATCGGTTAGAGAGTAAGTCAGCTGACCAGAAAAACAAGTTTGCTGCCAAATGAAGTTTTGTTTGCTGAGAAGACCTTCAGGTTTAAATTTCGGGGTCTTCAGGGATGAGGTACGTCTCGAAATACGTTTTATTTACCTGTAAAAACGTTTAGCATGGCTCGGGTTAGCTAGCTTTGTTTGTAGCTTTTACTGTTTACTCTTTTCAATTATTCCCAACAAACAAATTGAAACTTTGTAAAATTCAGCAAATTAAAACAGTGTACAGGAACATAAGCAAGAAATGGCACTCGGTGATATCATATTTTCTTTAAGGAGATATAGTGGTGTTATATGATGTTTGACTAATAGGTTTTATGACATTAGCATCATGTGAATATTAGTTCCTCTTTCCTCACCACTTAAATTGCAAAATCAGCTTTTACTTTAGTCTAAAAATAGTCAAAGCTTTTATCGCATTTCAGGGAAAACCTGCTTTAAATTCATTTTCTGAGGAATTTCTGCATCATTCTGGTCCTGCAGGAGCATCCTATCAGCATTTTTGCAGAAACACTGAAGAGGTGTGATGAAATTAAGGCTTTTGTTTGAAGTCGGACTAATGAGTCAAACAATCACATGCCTGACAAACACGGGATGTGAGAAACGTTTGTCTGATGGAGGATTTGACTCCGATTAAATTGGCAGGTCATGACTCGAGTTACCAAAGAGAGGGAGAGAGAGAGAGACTGATACAGGTATGTGGGAGAGAAGTGGCACACTGATTTAACAGTGTTATAATAGTGGGGTGGTGATGGTGCTGATAAAGTACTCTACATGATAGTTTTCCATGCAGAGCCACTTAAAAGTGTTTTCTCTAATAGCCTTTATTAATTGGCCCTTCTATAAATAAACTGGGATGATTTAAAATCTGAATCATGTAAATGATTCTCTTCAACTTTTCCCCCCCAAAAAAGAAGTCATGTTCACAAGTACAAACTGTGCTACATTTTCTTCAGCTCATCATCATCCTGTCCGCTCTTCCCTGTTACTGCAGTAGAAAAGTTATCTGTTTTACTTCATTAGGCAGTTGGGCTCTATTTGTTGTGCTGATTTGTGTTGGTAATATATCATAAATTCCCAATAACATGTGCTGAAATTTGTGGATGTAATATGACAAAATGTGGAAAAGTTAGAGGCATAAATAATTTTGCAAGGTAATGTAAAACAACATAGGGAAATTGTTGAGTGAGATTTTTAAAGGGATTTTGAACTCTTCAGCTCTTGCTGAAATCCCATTCTTACTGCAGTAACGTTATCTTCAGAATGACTCGAGTAATACTTTCTTCTTCTTCTCTCCTTTCCTGCCTCAGCCTGCCTTTTTCTCCCTTGTCTTCACCCTCTGAGTACCCTGAATCCTGCCTGTGAAGATGGACCACACAGAGCCTGTGCTTCCCAGCGTCAACTCGTCCTATCTTCCACCTTTATACGATCAACAAAGCTCGACCGAGGATGAGGAGGATGACGACATCAGTCCCTCTGCAACCCTTCTTCCTAAGGCTTCCTCGGCGCCTCTGGCTGTGCGCTACAGTCCAGAGGACTCGTACAAACTGGTGTATTTCACCTTTTTTCTGATGGGTATTGGCTCCCTGCTGCCCTGGAACTTCTTCATAACGGCGAAGCAGTACTGGCTCTACAAGCTTAGCAACAGCACTGACCAGAACGAAAGCTCCAGTGTCGGTGTGAGTAGCAGGACAATGATGTACAGCTAAAAATCTTAGAGTTTCTGATACGGCAGTGTGAATATCATGTGACGGGATGATTGGACAAAGTGTTGTTTCATATTTCAAAGAAATCCCCTTTGAAATGTTAAAGGAAGTTTACATACAATAAGGGCCGCAGCTATTTCAATAATCGATTAAACATGATTAATCCAATAAATTGTTTCAGCCCTACATTGAATGAAGAGAAATGTGTTCGAGTTGACTTAAACACTACAATAAAATAGTTATTTTCCTGTTCTCTCCCATTCCCTTCCTCTTATTTTATTTGAAAACATGATTGTGTGCTTCGTTGTTCTTAAAGAAGAGTGTTTTTTCTCTTCTTCTTTACACAGGACTACTTTGAAAGTTACCTGTCCATTGCTTCAGCGGTGCCATCTGTGCTGTGCCTGGTACTCAACTATTTTCTTGTTAACAGGTTAGTACAAACTATACACACACACACGTCACACAGATTACAGTCCACTTCAAAAACATTTACATTGTACTTTTCCACAGAAGTGTGAAGTTGTAAGAAAATTATTTTTTTTTACAGAAAGAAATTAAACCATGGTATTTGTATTCAGCCCCCCTTACTCTAAAACCCCTAAACAAGTCCAGTGCAGCCTATTGCATTCTGAAGTCATGTAATTAATAAATAGATGAATCTCTCAGCTGTTATGTGAAGACATCAGAGGTTTGTTGGAGATCAGTCAACAAACATCATCATGGAGACCAGCTGCTTGGAGTTAAAGGAGTGGAGATAAACGTTAATCCTGGAGGAAAACCTGTTGGAAACACAAAATAGTCATAAGGTAGAGGTTCATCTTTGAGTAGGACAACAACTCTAAACATGGAGACAGAACTACAACTGAATAGTTTAGGTCATCTAAAGCTGCTGTGCTGTAACTTTTGGATCCATTTTTTGCTCCAACACACCTGAATCAAATGAGTTAAGCCTCTGCAGCGCTGAATGGGACGCTGAGGAGGGAATCCATTCAGGAAAGCTGAACCCAAAAGCATTACATGACTGTCCAATGTGGATTTGTCAGGAGTTGTGAAATTGTTTTCCTTCAGCTTCCTAGTCATGCACAATTTTGCATCGGTCTGCTGTCACATAAAACACATTAAAGTTGGTAATGTGACAAAATATGAAAAAGCTTGATGGGTGTAAATACCTTTGCTAAGCATTGTAAAATGGTGATGAAGCATAGAGGCCTCAGAGACTCTAGTGTGCTGGGTTTTTTTTATCCCAGCAGCAACTGTCCTCTGTTTGATTGCTCGTAGGTTGTCTCCAAAAGTTCGAATCCTGTCCTCCCTCGTCGTGATGCTGTTGGTGTTCGGGGTGACCACGGTGCTGGTGGAGGTGGACGTCTCAGAGTACACGACGGAGTTCTTCACCGGCACGCTTGTCAGCGTTGCTGTGGTCAGCGGCGCCTCCAACATCTTCTGTGGGAGCGTGTTTGGGATCAGTGGCTATTTTCCCATGAGAATCTCTCAAGCCCTTATATCAGGTTAGATTGCTGATGCTTTCAGTTGTCTGTGTGACATCTACATCTATATATATATATATATATATATATATATATATATTATGGTAAACCTTTATTTAACCACATAAAAAGCCAATTGAGATGAAGACTTTTGTCACAAGATGCTTTGGCCAAGAAAGGTAGCAGCACGCATAATGATGAACAAGACAAGTAGACACAAAAACAGACTTAAAAATATATAAAATGCAAACAGTTTGACAATAAAGTGAGGTAATTGTTACTGTAATACTATAAAATGTAAAAACTGGCAATTTTAAGAATTGAAACACAGGCACTATATACAGGATTTCTGTTATTTTTTAAAATAAAGTATTCAGTGAAACAAGTTCTGAGTTTTAGTTCAGAACTTGTTTCACTCAACATTTTCAGCATATATATTTTTAAGTACTAGATTTTGCAGATAACTATATTTTTGTCTGTCTGACAGCAAGTCAGATGTGATGATTAGATACTTGGGAGTTTCCTTTTTACCAAATACTTTTTTTTAGTCTTACTCTTGTAATTTCTTACTTTGGCTGTTTTGTACTTTAACCAATTATTTCATTTCAATATACAAATGTATATCAATATACCATCACTCATCTTGGTCTTGTTTCATTCAAATGCAAAGATGGAGGTTGGCCAGCAGATGTCGCCACATACTTCTAAAGCAGGGGTGGCCAAGTCCAGTCCTCAAGAGCCACCATCCTGCAAGTTTCAGATGCATCCCTGCTTCAACACACCTGAATCAAATGACTGGCTCGTTATCAGGCCTCTGTAGAGCTGATCCCGGTCTGTTGGAGTAAGGATACTTCTAAAACTTGCAGGATGGTGGCTCTCGAGGACTGGACTTGGCCACCCCTGTTCTAAAGGAAAAAAGTTACTACTTTATTAAGTGACATATTTATTGAATTAGATTTAAATAAGTGTTTGTTTTACTTTTTTAAATCATTACTGAGAGACTTCAGTTACGATTTTAGGCTTCATTTATTTATTGAACTGTAGCTGATCTAATGATGGTTCTATTGATTATTCTGCACAGCAGTTCAGTTATTTAATTTGATGGCCAAGGCCAACCATTACATAAATACTGAAATAATTATATTTATTTTTTAACAATTCCTAAAGTTATAGGAATTGTGAATTTAATAAGTAATAAACATAATTTATTCAAAGTATCTCATTTCATCCGACTCCTGTCGAGTCACAGGAGTAAAGCTCATCACATTCAACTTTAATTAAGTCATTAAATTTAAAATCTTGTTGCATCTTAAATGCTTTTTTAAGGTACATTTAAAATGTACCTAGTACAAGGTACAAGTTGCCTTGTACATGAACTTGTTTTTCTTTTTTGTTCTAGGCCAGGCGATGGGGGGCACCCTGACTGCACTAGCATCGATAGTGAGCCTAGCTGTGGCTAAGGACGTGACCACCAACGCTCTGTTCTATTTCCTGACAGCAGACTTCTTTATCCTGCTCTGCATTATCTCATTTTTGCTTTTGCCAAAGTATGCATATTCAAGGTAAGAATAGTAATTTTCCTTTCACTTTCATTTAGAAAAAAAAAACACACTTTCTAGCTACATTTGCATCAAACATTCTTGAAAATGTAATAAATTCAACAAACGCTGACATCTTCTCTTCCTGTCAGGCACTACATGCTGGCAGCGACCTGTGTCGGTCCCGGGACGCTCGGTGAGGAGCAAAGTCCAGCAGGCGGAATCCCTCCGCTGCAGCCCATCATTAAGAAGGCCTGGGTGCTTGGCCTCTGCGTCTTTTATGTCTTCTTCATCTCAATCTCAGTATTCCCTTCCGTCTCATCGGGGATCCAATCTGTGAACACGGACAGCGGCAGCCCCTGGGCAACAACTTATTTTGTACCTCTGACCAGTTTCCTCCTTTATAACGTTGCAGATTTTAGTGGCAGGCTGGTGACGGCCTGGGTGCAGACCCCTGGTCCCACTAGTCGGGTCCTGCCGGTGCTGGTGCTGTGTCGCTCTGTGCTGGTGCCACTTCTCATGTTCTGTAACTACCAGCCACGGGACCACCTCCATACTGTGCTCTTCCCCCATGACGTTTACCCTGTGGTCTTCAACTGCCTGCTGGGCCTCTCTAACGGATACCTGGGTACGCTGCCGATGATCTACGGACCAAAGGTGGTTCCCCGGGAGCTGGCCGAAGCCACAGGCGTGGTCATGTCCTTCTTCCTCACTCTGGGGCTGGCTGTTGGATCTGCGTTTTCTGTTCTCATTGTGCACAGCATCTGAACCAAAGCCATATGTAGCTTTGTAGTGAAGGAAAACACTACAGCATTTACTTTCACTGGACCACCAGGTGTCACTTCCTCTGTACCTCATCTGGTTTCCAGCGTCGTCTCAACCCTACAGTAATTAGTGCCGATTCTAAGAACTGAAGCATTATGTGTGCAATTTGACATATTGCAGAAATTATACACGGGATATGGAGGAGATGAAAGTTTGGGGAAGCAATAAATGAAACACTTTTAGAATTTTGCTAAAATATGAACAATGTAAAAAAGACTACATGCTGATGGGTTTAAAATGCAACTGTTCAGTCTGAAACACAAGTACAGTTTTGCTGAAGATAAAAGGTCAAAGTTGCTTTTTTTTTAAGCAAGCTTGATTTGTCATTTCTATGGTGCTAACAGAGCTTTGTGAAAGCTGGTCCAAAAGACTTCCTGATACTTTGTCCTAAATGCATCTTTGTAGTTAATTTAATTGATTAATTCAGCTCAATGTGGAGTTGCAAGAACCATTTGTCCTCATTCTTTCATGTGATCTCAGGCTTTGAAACTTCTCCCAAATATAGTGGTCCTAAGGAAACAACTCCAGAAGCTAGTGCATATGCAAGCTAATTGTGCTGTTGAATGACCTTTAGTGACCCTTCAACCCATTTCCAGCTTTGACTGGCACCTTTACAAGGGACTTTTTGCACATTTTGTACCAAAATTTCTCCCCAGGACAAAGAACCCATCCTCTTGTATTCTTTTAGTATTAATTGCAAATTGTCTGAAGGAGTCCTTTTTCTGCCAGCAAGGTAGAATGATGCAACCTAATCAGTACTTGTATATTTGGCAGATTTTCAGTTAACACATGTTGACATCTGACTCATGGTACTACCATTTTCTGCAAGTATTGAGCAGACCCGACATTGTTTTCACCTTAACTTTCTGTGAAATTTTAATTGGTGTTTGAAATCATGTCTGTACAGATATTTAGAATTGGTAAGCAAAAATGCCACTAAGCATGGCTGTACATTTTTTTAAAATATATTTGTAATGTTTGTACAAAGTGTGATGACTCATGGTTAATATGGAGACAAGAGCCCTTTTGGTTTGGAAATTACTTTAATTGATAAAGTCAAATCAACTGAGTTGTCCAGTTGCTCAAAGCAGATTTAAGATTCTGTGCATTGGAGACAAATTTACAAAGATAAGAGTGCAAACACTGGGAGGGAGCCTCCACATATGCTCATAAAAACATCTACAAAATGTTCAAAGTTCACACACAATTGCTAAAAGATAATGATAAGCCAGTACAACAGTAATTGGTTACCAGGTTGCAGTCAGTAAATCTACCTAGTGGTGGGTGCGAAATGAGTTTAATCTGTCATTTCAAGCAAGCAATACAGAAAATTAATACAAAAATTAGACCTGACCAAGTTTGACATCACTTATGTCTTCAACCCCCCCCCCTCCCCCAAACTATAGAGAAAAGAAAAAGCCAGTCCATTTCCATCATGTCATCATTCAAAACATGAAGTTATTTTAGTCATATCACAGCAGTTTTAGTCTATTAGACATGAATTAATAATGGAAAGCAGCTCTAAAGTAATTTTCCTTTTAATTTCCGTTTCCAGCTTGTCGTTCTCTATTCCTTCCACACGTAACGTTTGCAGTGAGCCACAGTCTGAAAGAAACAGGTGTCATAAATCAGTAATTAAAAAAAAAAAACTTGACAGATGCAAAACAGCCTTACAGAATAGTCAGGTTATTGTCAAAGCCAGAGGAAAGCTTGCTTTGATATTTTATCCTTGATTGAAACTTATTTTGTAAGTTAATTCTGGGTTCATTGACATGTGTTTTTTTTGTGGATGAATTCATGCCATATTAATTTAAAAAGCATTAAATTGGCATAATTTTGGGTGAAATTTAAGAGTTTCTATCATGTGATGGTAAAATAGTTAACCACACTCCAAATTACTTTGGTACTCTACCACAGCAGCTTACTGTTCTTCCTTTCCCATCCAATTATGCATCGTTTTCCTTAGGCTGAAGACATTTTCTCTTGTACTACAAATTTACCAATCTGTTTGATAGTTTTACTAATAGACGGATCAGTAAAATAAGGCACTTGCATATTATGATCAAGCCTGGAGTTGAGGGCATCATCAAGTTGCATAATGTTTCTATGGCAACCTTTCATAGCATTTTTGCCCAGGGCATTCAGGTTGAGCACAAACAAAACTAATTTTCACTTCAGTGTTAAACATTTACAGAAGAATTTATCAAAATGAATTGTTATAACTATACCCACTACTATTAATACAATAATTTAAGTTCATCTTATACATTTTTGTGAAATATACAATAGAAACTTGCTTCTGTTGCACTAAATTTTGTTCATGTCCAGTTCAATCTAATCAACACTAAATGTGTTTACATTTGATCTTGAATGAAATATTTTTTTTTTTTTTCTAATTCAAGTAGTTTCATGGTTTAACCAGAAAACAAAATTCATGGCAGCCCAGTTTGACATGAAAGTATCGTGTTGAAGATCTGTGTACTTACGCCGCACAGTTCGGCTGCTCCCTTGACCTTGCACCAGTAGTCAGGCCCCTGGGAGCATGCCAACATTTCTAGAAAATGACGTTTAGCTCCAGGGCAAGCTCCCACTTTCTGTAACAAAAAAATAAAATATACAGATTTCAGATTCTGAATTTCAACATGCATAAAAATCCATAGCATATTTTATAGATCTGCCTGCAAGTGCATCTCTTGCACAAGAGAAAATTACTTACCATACACACAAAATCTGGGTCGAGCATCTGAAGCAGCAGCTGGACGAGAATTGGCTCATACTGTTCAATCAGTTGGTCACACTGAAGACAGAACCAAGGCATTACAACAGGGTTGATGCGACGTTATGTTTATGTATACAAAAAAAAAAAGTTAAAAACCACCACTCACCTCTGTTTTGTACGAGTCAGGCAGGAAGTTGCATACTTTCTTCACAGCCTCCTCAATCTCTTGCTCTGTGGCGTTCTTCTCCAGAATGCCATCGATGTAACTCACGGCCATCTTGCACACCTCGCAGTAGCCGCCAACCTCAAAACGAGCCTTGTCCAGGGCAACTGGAACATAAGATTTAGTTACCATACATTGAACTACCTTAACCCCAGTTTTGCATTTCTATGGTTTACATTAAACAGACCAAGCTGCACCACACAGATAAGGGTCATACTAAAAAAAAATAAATAAAAGGAAGTCATAACATTATGACTTTATTCTTTTCTTAGCGTGCCCCTAATACTCCATCAAATATAATGAATATATTTAGAAGCAGCTATGTACCAATATAAGTGCGGTCGGCACCGTTGCAGAGTCCCAGCACTGTGCAGACGGTCTTGGGGTCGGCCTGCTGCACCAGCAGCTCAATGATGGCCTGGCCATATGTCTCAACCAGGTCTTTGCACTGGGCAGTCAGAGAGGAGGGCAGAAATGTGCACACCTTCTCCACAGCCTTAACAACTTCCTCCTGCCACCATAAACAAGAGTCAGACACATTAGGGACAAACGTGCAGGATTTGGGCAGCAGGGCTGTTTAATTGAAGATACTAGGAAGAAGAACTCATGAAACATCCCCACCTCAGTTGCTTGATCCTCCAGCATGGACTCCAACTGCTTCATCACAAACTCACAGATTGCACAAGTTGGCGACTCACGGACACGTACCATCGGCTGCAATATGATTAATGTTTGATTATGTAGAAAGTGATTTTTCTTTAAAAAAATAAAATAAAAAGTACCCACCCTGGAAGCAGGAGCCTCAACTTTGGTGGCAGGGAAAAGCTTAGCAGCCACCATGGTTTTGGCAGCAGGGATAACCTTTGCAGGCTGCAGGTCCAACATGGGGACGGACTTCTTCATTTCCGGACAGAAACCAGCAAGAGCACAGATCTCCTTTGGTTGCTGTGGAGAGAAGTAAACTGTTACCTTAGCACACAGTGTCCCGTCTTCTGCAGCGCTGCCTAGGGGCATGCCGTTAGGAATGTGAACATGTCGTTACACAACACTGCCAGTCATGCACTATACACACACAATACAGACCACAAAACCAATCCAAACATCTAAGGCAGTCATCTTACCAGTGCCAAACACACCCATAGTGTTAACTGGAGCACCAACTCAGAAACAGACAACTGTCCAAGTGAAGATTAGTGCATCTCTCAGCACAATGTGCAAAGCCACTTGAATATACAGGAGCATCTCACTGAAGAGGTCAAGATCAGCAATCCAAATTTAAAAAGTAAAACTTGTACTACATAGATTACACACAGTGTGTCAATTTTCTTTATGGATTTCAGCCAAAACTCAGCTCCCCAGAAGTCTGAAACATTAGACCAACGCAGCAGGATTTTGTTACAGAAATTGTTCTGCTTACTTTGTGGTTTAAACAATGTTGGGGAGAGACCGCAGTGGCGGTCAGTAAGAACAGTAAACCATTAAAGAAGCTGAATGAAAGCAAATGCAGTAGCGAATCAATGATTCCATACAATTAGCTGAGTTGACCAAAAAAAAAAAAAAAAAAAACTTTTAACACCAACATCAATTGTATTGCATACTTGACTCTCAATTTTATTGAACTGACATGACATGAATTGGCACCTCAATATGAATTGAAGCTGGCTATTTGAAGTGCTGGAAAGTTTTGTGGAATAAAAAAATACTTAAAAAGATCACTTAACTCAGTGGCGCAACATCACACTGATGCAAGTCATGCAAGAGGAGACCTGACCAAATAAAGTGTGCAGCACTGGTCTTGTGTAATAGTCTGATTTTTTAATTTTGGGTTTTTAAATCAGCCATGAGCAATAATAAAAATAAAGAGCAAAATGTATTTAACAAAATCACTATTACAAATGTAAACAACAAGAGTTTTACTTTTTGAATTCCATCGTCAACATTTGAGATGCCCCTGCACTGCACGACTGAAGTGAGTTTGGAAGCAAAAGAAACTTTTACTGTGGTCATTCAACGTGATGTTGAGTAGTGAGTAGTTCTAAAATAAGCTGTTTGGATGTGTGAAACATCTATTCTCATGCATCAGTGGCAAGTGTTTAGTGCAAGAAATGGACTTCCCAAGAGCAAGAAGAAGAACTAGGGGTTAAAAGACTACAGGCTGAACACAGAGTGACCTACCTGTTCCTGGGGGGGGGCAGCAAATAAACACAGGGGGTAAAAGAGGAAAAGAACAGAATGACATGGATGAAGAGGATAAAAGTAAATTGGGAATACAGGCAAAATTAATAAAAGGAAACTTTAGAGCAATTCATACAGTGAAAAAAAACTAAAAAAAAACAAATGAAGCTGCTGTTGGTGCAAACATGGGCTCAGCAACCTCAAAAAACAAAGTCAGCCTTAGTACTGAGGTCTAAGCATTAGATTCATGTTACAACATGGAGGGGTGGGTCTTAGAGACTCTGTAAAGAACCCTGGAGGACTCACCATGGACATCAGCTGCTGAACAACAGCAGGGCCGTACTGTCCTACGTACTGCTTGCACTGCAATGAGAAACAGTTCAAAGCCCGATTTCCAGGTAATTTGGATTCATATGAAATAGACGCATTTTAAGTCTTTACCATATCGGACAGGCCTGGTCCCAACATGTCGCACTGGTGCTCAATGTTCTGAATCAGGGAGTCAATGAAGGAGGAGTTGGTCTTCGCTTCTGTCTGAGCATCAGAGAGGAACTTGATGCAGTCCTGGCACACTACGTCACCAGTCTATTGAAGGAAAGATATTCAAAACAAGATTTAAAATGACACAAAAAAAAAATGGCAAGGCTTCTTTAGATGAGCAGAGAGGTGACTGCAAGAGTACCTGCTTTGAAGCTCCCTGCTTTGGAGCAGGATATCCTGTATTCTGGGGGTAGAGGAGGTCAGGAACATTGAGCAGGAAGGGCGCCACACGCTGGGCAAGGTCCACCTCAGGGATTTCATTGGACTTGAGCTCCTCCTGGGGCTCAAACCTGGCGAGGGACATCTGCATAGAGTTACACAAACCC